TAAAGCATTTCTGTAATAGAAGTCTGATTATCCTTGTTCTTTTTTTTTTTTTTTAAAGAAAAAAATCCCAAACATTGATAAGGCTTCAAGTAACCAGTTTAATTCTGCTGTAACAGACCATCATTTAATCCTGCACTGACCTGGTCACCTGGCAAGGTAATTTCCTTACACTTTTATTAAATAAAAGCCTTCCTCATATGCACCAGGCCAAAGGTGGATGTGTAGATTTAAGACTAGATGGAATATTTTCACAGTAATTTCTCAAAGTCTATCAATAGTCAGTTTTACTTTTTGAAAGAAAAAGACTCAAATGCTCAGAAAATTAATGATCAATCTAAATTAGATGTTTAAGAAGGTCCTTTTCATTTGACATATCTGAAGACACTATTCATAATTCCTTACTCTAGATATTTGGCAAACTATTATGCAAGTTAGCTATCTAGTCCATGGATCCTTTGAAGGATACTGCTGAGCACTTCAATCGTAAGCCCCTACCTTGATTAATTGGAAAGGATCCCTCAACTTCCAACTTAATGACATTGCACAAAAGTAGTTCTAATCTTTATTGCCAAAAGTGAAGAGTATCTGCCTTTTTCATCCTCCCTTGCTCTCCTTCCACATCCAAGATTGTTGTTCTACCTTCTCACTTGCACTACCATTACTGGGCCCTTTTTGTGACCTGATTTCAGTCATGAACACAACAAAAGACTAGTCATTTAGATATTTATTTTGCTAGTTTAACAAATCCCTGGCTGCCCTTGATATGAGCCAGACCACACAACTGTGTGTTGATATCCTTTTTGTAAATCATCCTGTGATTATTTCCTCAGGAGAACACATTAACTTGTAGGACTGTTCCTTACACACAGCCATAGAAGGGTCCACAGCATTTCTGAAACTGTTCTGCAAGGTCAGAGATCTCAAGATCAAAAAGGCAGAACTGCTACTAGAATATACTGCCAGAGGACTTACATCTCCATCTCACTTCCAGCCAAAACTACAGAAAATTCTTCAAATGGGTATTAATGAGTAGCATCTGAACCCTGAAGCACATCTGCTGTCTCAAACAGGCTAAAATTCAGGAAAAAGTGATTCTGCCTTGCCCACTTGCAGAACTTGTGCACCTTCTGTGACAAAAATTAAACTACCCCACCCATTTCCAAGAATGTGTAAAATTTGGACTTTTGTATTTCTAGTACACTTACTCTTAGAAGTACATCAGCTGTTCCCATGTTAACATGGGTGCAAAGGAGGGAGAATCAGGAGTTTCACCACAAGATACCACCCCAGAGACAAAATAATGAAAATCTGTGGAGCAAAATCAGTGTCCTCTCCAAATGAAAACTGGGAGGAATATAACAAAGTCATCCACAAAACTGGCCACAGCATATCTTAGCGAACAACTCTCTGTAATCCCTACAGACATCTTGCTTAATTAAAAAAAAAAAAAAAAAAAAAAAAGCATGCAATCCCCATTACAACTAATGGAAATTCAATGAATACAAATTACATGTAGTTTAGGTATTTTGACCAAAAACTTAAGTAATCAATGTTAGAAAAAAAAAAAAGGCTTATGAAACCAGTAGCAGCAGCCCGGGACGCGAGGGTTCCCTTGCTCCATCGCCCGGGCTGCAGCTCCATCTCGTGGAATCCTCCCCATCCCGCAGCCGCGCTGCTCTGCCGGGAAACGCTGCCCCCTCCCGTCCCATCGCCTGAACAAATAGCTCATTAGCAATCTGTCAGCAAATCGGCAGGCAAGGAATCTTAAATCAGCCAAGGTCGTACCACACTCTCAAAACTGCTTCCTTCCCCTCTGAAGCGCAGATACCTTGTAATAATTTCCAATTCAAGCTGCAGAAGCAAATACACACTTTAATTTTTTTCCCCCGAAATTTAATTTATTTCCTTCAGGCAGCCTGGCTGCACATCAGATACGCAGGGTGCAGGAGTAGGGGGGTCCCTTGGGAATGGAATTACATGCAACCTCCAGCCTGAGCTGCAGCAAGACACGGTGTGTACGAATGGCAATGAACAGTCACTTACACAAGCAACAGTGAAGGCCTTAACATCACATACTTTTCCAGTAGAATATTCTTTTCTTCACACATGTAATTTTTAACACCAGTCTAAAGAAAATTAGCAGTTTAATGAGTGGGTCAAATCACCAGAGCCACCCAATTTAGTAAATTAATTTATTGATTTAATCAGTATAAAGAAAAACATCTGTAAACTTTATTTTATATGCACTTCTGTGAATTAACTGAAATTGCAGGTACAGATACACTAGCAAAATAGCTTCTAGATTTCAGTAATGGGGTGGAGGAGGCAAAATAAACAAGAGTCTACAGAAACAAAATAGGATTTTTAGAAAGTACCTTTTGAAATTCTGTGAAAATAGTACCCTTACTCTAAATACAAAGAAGTAACTTGAAAGTTATCTCTAAAAAGATATTTGGACTTCAAATATACAAAACCATCTTATCTATACATTGTAGAGTGTTATTGCCAAGACCTGGATTTCCACAGTCATCAAATCTTACCACACTTTTCAATAGTGGTACAACAAGGACCGTTACCTATTACTGAAAGTTACAAGCAACAAGTTGAGGTTATAGCTGTAAAACAGAGTGGAAGTCAACAGTTAAAAGGCCACCTGTCACAGTACCTGAGAAGAGGATATGAAAATGTCTCATGACTCCTGTGTTCATCCCCACTTTATTAATTTCACATTCATCTTAGGAAGATAGAGGAAAACTCCAACCACAGACTAGCAGGAGCCTTTGCAGAAAGCTTCCTGAGGTGTGCTGAACTGTTAACTAACCAGTTCATTAGAAGGGGCTACATGCTTCCTTCACACATGGAATAAAGTCTGTTCACTGGTGAAGTGAGAGTAATGTAATTTTTCTCTTACCATCTGTACAATTCATTCACTTTACAATGTTAGCCAAAGAAAAGGTAAAGGAAGACTCCCATTACAAGGGGTAATAATGCTCCAGAGGACACGGAATGAAACTGAGCCTGGATAATGTCATTTTTTAAGAAAATCGATTCCTACTTATCTTTGGAGAGTATTCTTTGAGAACTACATTTCAGGAAATCTTGTTCTCCTACTAGCCCTTAAGCAGTATATTAAAATGTCAACACAATAATAATAAACTGCCTATGCAAGGCACTTCTTCCCTTTAAATGCTATGAAACCAACATCCTTCAGCTAGGAAAAAAGAATGCCTATTTCAACATGCATTGGCAAGACCAGCATACCTAGTAAATAACTAGCATACAGTCTAACAGAGATCAGTGAATAAAGCACAAAGGAACATGAATTTTATCTCCTAAGCTGCACAGTAACCCCCAAGCAAGTGCTCCAGCAATCATAAAATATTCTCAGAACATTCTCTGAGCAACTGTGCCAGAGCATCAGCTGTGATCCCCAGGAATGACTGCAAAGACATCAGGTGCATGGGTCAAGATAACAAAAAGCAACAGAAAACATACAGTGCAAACATTTAAAATGTTTTCTATCAGCACACAGAGGAATTTAAACTCAATTAGAATGTCTCATAGATATTGAGTTGTTTTAAGAATGCAAACAATTAAGTAATTTAGATGTTATTCAAGAGGAATTTAAACTTTTTGGACCACAGGCCTTAGCCAAGTGATACCCTTACACTATTTGGTTCTAAATGAAACAAAGAACACCATAGACTTCAAGAAAAGTCAAACTCAGCTACAAGAATCAAAAGCAGGAAGAGAAGCTTAACCCTTTAATGCAATTTGACTCTATACAAAACCAAGAAACCTCAAAGCAAATTCACTGATGTGGCTAATAAAATTATTAAAATTAGTAAGGCTTTTTTCATTAAGATTTGAGATCTATTACTTGATCAAGAGTTAACAAGCAGCAAATTTTTCTTCTTCTAGACTATAATCCCTTAAACCTCCAGCATTTTATTTATCTCAGAAGCAGATAAGATTACTTGCTATACTTGCTTGAGATGTAAAGAATAATTTTTAAGATCAGCTTTGACCAACCTTTTGGATTCTACAGAATGTCACCCCCCCCCCCAATTTTCTTTAACAAAATAAATGGAAAGGAAGAAAGAATCTGTTTTCAATTCAGTGAGAAAGGCATCCTTAAAGTACTATAACAAATATTCTCCAATGCAGTTGGAACCTCACAGAAAAAGCATAATCCTGCAGCAAAATCCTTAAAACTATGAACATCAAAGCAATACACCATAAAACATACCAGGACCCCTTAAAAACAGAAGGAGAGTCACAGCATCCCTACCCTTACAATCATGAAAGATTGAATATTTTAATGGGTTAAATTTTCTAAATATGTAGAAAAATAAATAAATACTACATTATTTTCAAAATAGCTATGAGCCAAGTCTAATGCTGAAATAACTAAATAAAAAGATCAAAAAACCCCCCCATGACCAAAAAAAAGCACAATATGTGCCTTGCAGCTCTATATTTCACACGGTAAATGCATTTTGCCCAAGCATATGGGACTTTTGTTTTTCCCAGTAAGTAAAAAGTATTTTTTTCAAATTACTTTTCACTTGAATAAGAGTCCTTAAAATCCAGACCACTGGAAACAGAAATAATCAAAGGGCCAGGGCTGTAAATTCCAGCTCTCCTCCTCGTCCTCACACCACTACATTTCTTGTAAAAGTTTCTTCTGTACCTGAAGCATCCTTCCAGAATTTGTTTTGGGAACAAAAACAGATGATAAAATACAGGATTATTTGAAACCACAACAGCTATTTTTAAATAGTCCATATCTTAACTGCACAGTAACTAATACGAGCATTAATACGAGTTGGTTTCACAGGAAAAGAAACACACCAGTAATTCTGTACATGGCAAAATATTATTAACTACTAGTATTAATCTATATTAAGTTTAATGGTTATGTTGGGTGGGGAAAGTAGAGCTTAAAAGCTTCCTCACATCTCTTGACCAAAATGCAACATCTCATACTAATCACGTACCTGTGCTTGTACTTGCAAACAAAGTGCCAGCTGTGGTACTTGTAGGGAGTTTTCCATTATTTAGCTGCTTCACTCTTTTCAGGTGAGACTTCCCATTGTAATGAACTTGGGCTTGTGCTGCAGAGTTCAGCTGTATATTGCACACTTCACAAAAGGAAAACAGTATCTTCTTTTTTTCTTTGCTTAATTGATAGTCCTGCCTGTCATTCCTCAGTCCTTTTTCTTCAAAGCCCCACAGAACAGCTGGATGATTCATAATCCCATCTTCAAAGACGTGGTCAGGACTTAACGGACGCTTCATACCTACAAAGCAAACAGACGAAATTGTAATAGAAGCCAACTAATACTACTTACTACTAAATCAGCATTTTCTTTTTTAAAATGCTAAACAATGTGAAACAAAGACCAGTTCCAACAAATAAGGTTCCAAATTGCAGACACATCACTTAATAGAAAAATACAAGCATTTGTGACATACTGCTGAGCTCAGAAATAATAAGGTGGCAATGTATCACAGTCTGCAGGCAGCAACAACTCACAACAACTCATTTTGTTCTGCAAGCTCTCTGTTTTAAAGCAGGTTTATTTTTGCATCTCTAGCAGAGTTTAAGACACTTTTCAAATACATTCTCTTCACCTCACTCAGCACTGGTTCCAGAGCTTGTCACTTTCCAATGCCCATAGCAGTACCCACTGCCCAAAATACAATTACTCAACAAAAAGGATGCTGACAGGAGAGGTTACTGAAACACAGCTGAATGCTCAAGTGAGACTAATGAATACTTTCCACTTTTATGTACACCCAAATTTTTAGCCTTTAAAGAAGCATTAAGATATTGTCTTTTGTAGTAGTCCATCAAGCAGTGTGGAGTACTTTATGCCCTAGAGGGAAGAGATGCCATCCAGAGGGACGTTGACAGGGTGGTGAGATGGGCCAACCTCACAAAGTTCAACAAGCCCAAGTGCAATGTCTTGCACCTGGGTCAGTGCAACCCCAGGCACAAATACAGGCTGGGGGGAGAATGGCTGGAGAGCAGTCCCAAGGAAAAGCTAGTGGTACTAGATAATACCACTAGATACTACCACTAGGTAGTACCACCACTACCACAATGGTAGCAGTAGGTGAGAAGCTCAGCATGAGCTGCCAGTGTGCGCTCAAAGCCCAGAGCACCAACTGCATCCTGGACTGCATCAAAAGAAGTATGGCTAGCAGGACAAGAGAGGGGATTCTGCCCCTCTACTCTGCTCTGCTCAGACCCCACCTGTACTGCATACAGCTCTGGAGCCCTCAGCACATGAAAGACATGGAGCTGTTGGAGAGGGTCCAGAGAAGGGCCACAAAGATGATCAAAGGGCTGGAGGACCTCTACCACGAAGGCAGGCTGAGAGTTGGGGCTGTTCAGCCTGGAGAAGAGAAGGCTCTGGGGAGAACTTATAGTGGTCTTCCAGTACCTGAAGGGGCCTACAGATAAGCTGGGGAGGGGCTTTTCACCAGATAGGGTAGTGATAGGACAAGAGGTAATGGTTTTCAACTGAAAGAGGGTAGATTTAGGCTAGACATCAGGAGGAAATTCTTCACCATGAGGGTAGTAAGGTGCTGGAATAGGTTGCCTAGGGAGGTTGTGGAAGCCCTCAAGTACTGTGTTCAGTTCTGGGCCCCTCACACTGGAGAGTGTCCAGAGGAGAGCTATTGAGCTGGTGAAGAGTCTAGAGAACAAGTCATACAAGCAGTGACTGAGGGGGTTGGGGCTATTTAGTCTAAAGAAAAGGAGGCTGAGGGGAGACATCACCCTCTAAAACTAGCTGGAAGGACATCGTAAAGTGCTAGGCCCTGGTGTTTTCTCCCAAGTAAATAACTATAGGAACAGAGGAAATTACCTGAAGTTGCAGCAGGGGAGGCTTAGATTGGATATTAGGAAGAACTTCTATACTGAATGAGTGGTCAGGCACTGGAACAGCCTGCCCAAGAAGATGGTTCAGTCATCATCCTTGGAGGTATCCAAGAAACATGTAGATGTGGCACTTCAGGGTATGCTCTAGTGGCCGAGGTTGTAGGGTTCATTTTTTTTGTGGGTGTTTTCTGGTGGGGTGTGGGTGGTCGTGTTTGTTCGGGTTTTTTTTTTTATGTTGGTGGTTGGACTCTGATCTCAAAGGTCCTTTCCAACCATTAAGATTCTGTGATTCTGTATGATAAATGAACCAAATCACACGAAGAACATTTTAATATATCTGGGGGGAGGTGTGTAGGTTTGTTTTATTTAAGGTATGCTGCTAAACCAGTAGAGAAGGAGGAAGAACTCTTTATAAGGGGGAGAAGAGTCTAGAGTAACTCACATAGAAAATATTTGTTCTCTTGGCTTAACAACTTGTTGTTTACACTTTGCTTTCTGGATCAGCCAAAGGCTGGCTTAGGGAGCTGTGCAGAAATGCTCTTCCCAGGCAAGAGCACACCTATGTTAAGCTTTCAGAAGCAAAGAGGCTTCAAATGCAAGGTCCCTTTTTCAGTTCTGGTACGAGAACAGCAGAGATCTTTGTGCACACCTACTGCTCTGCCAGCCAGGAGGAATGAGAGAGACCTCACTTCCACACACACAAAACAAAACAGCAGTTGTAGCAATCCTCCCAAAAACAGTGTAGTATTTGCAAGCAGTACTGGAATCGTTTTCTTATTATCCAGACAAGTATATTACCAGGAGACAGTCAGCTTGGCTCTTTGGAACAAGTATGTAATTGGAAACAACTTCAGAATTCACCAATCAAGTATTCTAAATAAATACTTTGTAGTTGTAGTCACATATTTGTTTCATATTACTGACATTTCTATCATAAGATTAAAAAAATATAAACACTATGTTAATTAGCATATACATCACATCAAATATTGAAAAGTTATTAAAAATAATTGTAGGGTGTAGGTACCTAATTGGTTTTAAAACTAAAATACTAGTAAGCCTGAAAACCTAGGGTAGACACCATCACACTAAATCATTTAAGCATAAGTATCATATTTCAAGGTAAACAACCAAGATCCTTGACTCAGCTAAGCTTAGATGACATTTTCATCTGAAAATTTAATCTGCTTAGAGCTTTGGTATTTGTTACTTTTCAATATATTTTTAAACCGCAACTTCCCTGACTCCCTTTGCTTTCTAAGTATTTTTATTTCAACAGCATTGTTGTAGTTTTTTATCCCTGCTGTAAAAGATGTTTAAACAAAAGTTATTTCTATTATATTGTTTTAGATGTTATAAGCATACAAACAATTAACAAAAAATAGATAACAGTTTAAAAGTCCTGGCTTGTCTGAAATCTCATAAGAAAGCAAATAATAGTTCAAAATACAATTCAATAATAATTTCAATAATCTGTAAATTCTTAATGAAGCTCAGTTGATTGGGACACATTTAAAAGTGGCAGCAGTGAATACCTGCATTAGGAAGCTGCATGGACCAGAAGATGGAGCAGGCAGCTGCTGCTGAGCACCTGTAACCTTTCAAAGAGGGTATATTTTGGAAAGCACCAGCCTGATATTGCAGTACCCCATTACTAGTACAGCAGGAGATGTATATACTTGTGGACTTCATATTTAGGCTTACTTTCATCCAAAAGAATGAAACCTTTCAGCTGGTAAAGTCTGAGATTACTGAAATATGAACCAAGCAAGGCTAGCAGGGAAAATCAGAACAGTTGTCCCAAAAGTGTGTATCTGACCTTAACAAAAATGTTTTTATTATGGACTCACCCAGAAAGAACAACTTAACATAGCAAGGGCTCAAACACCACACCTACACCCTTAGGCAGAATCCCAGCTACCAAGCCTAGAAAGGAAATTAACCTTCAGACAGAGAGAAACCACTGTCCAAATTTTATTTTGTTTTTACAAATAAAATAGTTTTAAGCTCATTTTTACTATAAAGTACTCTCTTAGTTGCATTAACACAGGACAAATGAATCCTTAAAGCCATCTCTTGCTACTAATTTAAAAACTAAAAGCCACAAACAGAAATATTAAAATAACCCAGATTGCCTAAAGCTCTGCATCTAAATTAAAAGGTGACCTGATTATAAGCAGCACTGACCTCCCAACAACTGCTGGGAGCAGCAGATGCAAAGCATTTCTGAAAAAATACACCTACGTGGATCATCTTAAACCTTGGCTTTACGAGGGCATGCAGCAGCATACAAAGATGGGTTTGACCCTGCAGAGGACCTGTACTTGCATTCAGAAACCAAACCATGCTAGCCCTCCGAAGGCTACCTGCTCCTATGCAGAAGTCCCAGCCCTCATCTTCCTGGGATTTCAGAGACTTTAACATTTGATATGGAGTATCATCCGTGTTTGAAAGGCCTGGTCCAGTTGCTACCAAAGTGTTTAAGAAGATGGTGTTGGCAAACGTGCACTGAGATTTTACAGCATGCACATCTTTCACACAGTAATACAGCTTTTACCATAAATGATAACTTTTTGTAGTGTATTTGTTAAAACAATAAAAATGTTATTAACATGAAAGGTCCCATTTGTCTCTAAAATTCTGTTTCCTCCCTTTCTTCTCTAAAGTTAGGGTTGGAAAAACACATTTTAAAATACCGTCTGAAATGTCCTTGCTCTAGAATATACAGAATAAACACAATGCTGCATTAAAGAATCTCAAAATGAACACAGATGCATTTTGTAAGAGGTAACCTTCCCACTGAAGGCTCTCTGAATACCTCACATTTATGAGAGAAGCTTGTACATACAGATTAAATTGTAATTTAAAAAACCCAGCAAACGAAAAGACTTGAGCATTCTTCCTATTCTCTACACTTCCTAGTCATTCAAATTTATGCAAGCAAGCATCTGACAAGTGTCTTTTTTCTTCAAAAATAACTTTTCATTGCAGACAGATTTTGAAGACTTCTGGATGGTACTAATTCTCACTCATCAGGAATCAGATATGAAATGGGGCCATTTCATTCCTCAGATTTACACATAGCTCAATAACATTACCACATAAAAGCAGCAGCTACTTGAGACTACAGTAAGTGAACTGAGAATAAAGATAATTATATAGTAAATAATAACTATATTCTGTGAAATGTAGAGTAATAGTTATAGATAGGATTATGGTAAGTAAGAGTTACAAATGGAATTGTGAAGTATTTAGAAGTAGGTTTAAGACTAAAACCAAGAGTTCATTAAAAGGGGAAAAAGATGGACATCATCATATGGGGAAAACACAATAGATAATCCTGTGAGCTCCCACTTTTGTATAACCTGGACACAGCACAGTACAAGCCAAGTCTCAGCAGCAGCTGATA